GGAGGGGGCAGCAGGGGGGGCACGGCCACATCCACAGCCCAGTGGCTGCGGGGGGGCCCCCAGGCTCCCCACCAGGACGTTTGGGACCACCGGGAACACATCTGCGGGTTGTCCCCAGGACACTGCCTCGTCCACCCCACCCTGTCCCCAAGGTGGGGATGAGCCTCGCTCATCAGGACCCCAAAGCCCCCCCAGAAGGTGAGCGTTGGCTGCCCCCCCCCAGCCCCGCTGCCCCTTCCTCGCTTTTCCCTTTTCCCATCCCTTTCGGTGCCTCCGGGACGGGGCTGTGAAACCCCACAGCTCCAGTTTTTTTTTGGGGGGGACACCCCTAAAAGCACCACGCATGGGGAGGGAGGTCCCACGCTCACATCTGGGGGGGGGCTTCATCCATAGCAGCCCCCAGAGAAGCCACGAGGGTTTCTGTTCTGCACCTGGGGGGCAGCTGGTGGCCGGGCGGTGGGGGCCACTCGCCCCCCGACCTCCTCCCCCTGTGTCCCCTCGGGTCCCTCGCCCAGCCGGGCGGTGCCGTGGGGGGGTCCGAGCTGTCCCAGCTGGCTCAGAGCCGTGAGCCGGGCTGGGGGCCTGCAGCACCTCCCCACCCCCGTGTCCCCCTGTCCCCCCGTGCCCCCTCCCCTCCCCGGGGGGGCCGTGCCGTGTTCCGCAGCTCGCTGCTGCCCCCCCCAGGAGCTGAGGAGGAAGAGCCGGGGCCGGCGGCGCTGCCAGGGCCGGGGGGGCTGCTCCGGGGCTGCTCCCCCCCCCCGCGGGGACCGACAGGGACACCCCGATGGCCCCTCCCCGTGTGTGGCAGCAGGGTGGCCACCAACCACCGGGCAGACGGGGGTCCTGTGGCCACCACCAGGCAGGGGTCTCGGTGGCCACCACCAACCATCAGACGGGGGTCCTGTGGCCACTGTCAACCATGGGCAGGGGTCCCCGTGGCCACCACCAGCCACCAGGTAGGGGGTCCACATGGCCACCATCAACCATCAGGCAGGTGGTCCCTGTGGCCAACATCAGCCATGGGCAGGGCGTCCCTGTGGCCACCATCAACCATTGGGAAGGGGTCCTATGGCCACCACCATCCCCTACACAGGGGTCCCCATGGCCACCACCAACCCCCAGGCAGGGGTCCCATGGCCACCATGAGCCACCAGGCAGGGGTCCTCGTGGCCACCACTAACCATGGGGCAGGGGTCCCCATGGCCACCACCAATCCCCAGGCAGGGGTCCTTGTGGCCACCAACAACAACCAGGCCAGGGTCCTCGTGGCCACCACTAACCATGGGGCAGGGGGTCCTGTGGCCACCACCAGCTATCAGACAGGGGTCCCATAGCCACCACCAACCATGGGCAGGGGTCCCCGTGGCCACTACCAACTACCAGGCAGGGGGTCCCTGTGGCCACCATAAGCCATGGGCAGGGGTCCCATGGCCACCACCAACCCCCAGGTAGGGGTCTTCGTGGCCACCAACAACAACCAGGCCCAGCAGGAGGGTCCCGGTGGCCACCACCAGCCATCAGACAGGATGTCTCCTTTTTAGTCTTCCCCCAGCCCCAAAGCGGGAGAATTTGGACCAACATGAGTGCTTCCTACAAGCCCCATCGGTGGGCGGAGGGCGGAGGCCAGAAGAGGATTCCCCCCCCCCACCTGCAGCCGGTGGGGGCCGAGGTCTGCACTTTGCTCCCGCTATCAGCAGGAAGGGCTGGGAGGCTCTGCAGGGCGCTCGTTTTTTTTTGGGGGGGGTTGGTAAGAAATTCCTCCCTGTGCCTGAGCTGCAGCCCCGAGAGTGGGGGCTTTGGGATTGGGGGGATCCAGCCACAATGGATTAAACTCGGGGTCTGTTTGGGGTGAAAACACAGAGATTTAGGATCCCGAGGCCAAATCTGCTGCTGCTCACTCCCTGTTGGAGCACCTCACCCCCCCCCACACCCCCCCGCCTGCACAGTCCCTGCCCCTGTCCAGGTCTCAGTCCCAGTCCCACATCCCTGTCCCAGTTCCTATCCCAGTCCCAGTCCTAGTCCCCATCCCAGTTCCCAACCCAGTCTATCCCAGTCCTATCCCAGTCCCAGTCTCAGTCCCATTCCCAGTCTATCCCAACCCAGTCCCTGTCCCAGATTCAGTCCCCATCCCTGTCCCAGTCCCTGTCCCTGTCCCAGTCCCCATCCCAGTCTCAGTCCCATCCCTGTCCAGTCTCGGTCCCAGTCCCCATCTAAGTCCCAGTTCCTATCCCAGTCCCAATACCCCATCCCAGTCTCCAACCCAGTCTCAGTCCCAATCCCAGTCCCATTCCCAGTCTATCCCAGTTCCTATCCCAGTCCCAGCCTCAGTCCCATTCCCAGTCTATCCCAATCCCAGTCCCTGTCCCACTCCCAGTCCCTGTCCCAGACCCCATCCCAGTTTGTCCCAGTCCCAGTCCCAGTCCCCATCTGTCCCAGTCCCAGTCCCAGTCCCCGTCTCTGTCCAGTTCCCAGTCCCCAGTCCCAGTCCCCATCTGTCCCAGTCCACAGTCCCAGTCCCCATCTCTGTCCCAGTCCCCATCTCTGTCCCAGTCCCAGTCCCAGTCCCCAGCTGTCCCAGTCCCAGTCCGCAGTCCCAGTCCCAGTCCCAGTCCCCATCTGTCCCAGTCCCGGTCCCGGTCCCCGTCCCGGTCCCGGTCCCAGTCCCCGTCCCAGTCCCCGTCCCCGTCCCCGTCCCAGTCCCAGTCCACGCCTCTGCCCCAGTCCCAGTCCCAGTCCGTCCCAGTCCCCACCCGCCGATAACCCGAGCAGGTGGCGCCAAATAAGCCCCGCCCCCTCAATTTGCATACGAGGCCCCTCCCCCTCCCCGCCGCGCGGCTCCGCGGGCTGCCGGGGGCGGGGCGGCGGCGGCGGCAGCCAATCAGCGCGCGGCGTTTTCCGCGGGAAATCCGAATTTCGCGGCACGGGGTTTGGCGCTTAAAAAAAAAAAAAAAAAAAAAAAAAAAGGCCAAAAAAACCCGGGGAGAGAGAGGAGGAAAAGCAGCGGCCGGCACCGAGGGGGGGGGGGGCACAACCGCGGGGGGGGGCACCGGGACGCGCCCCCTCCGGTCCCATCCGGGCCGAGCGAGGTGATTTTGGTGCCGAACGCGGCGATTTTGGGGCGAAACGCGGTGTTTTTAGGGCCGAGCGCGCCTTTTCCGCCTTCCTTTTTCCTGCCCCCCCCCCCCCCGCGCCTTTTTTTTTTTTTTTAATTTTTTCTTTTATTTTTTTTCCGGGGTGTTTTAGGTCCGCGTCCGGCGGGTTCCCACGACCCCCCCCCCCAAAAAAAAAAATCAAAGCCGCCGGTGATGCCGTGACCCCCCCGCCCCGCGGAGCCGCTCGGTTCTCTTCCCCCCCCCCCCCCCCCAAATCCCTCCCCCGAGCCGGCTTCTCGGAAGGACTTTGCAATGCTGCGGCTGCCCCGGGGAGTGTCCCCAGCCCCGGGGGGGGGCGCGGCCCTCCCGCCCCCCCCTGCCCAGCGGCCCCCCAAAAAAACCGTGCCGGCCATGGGCTCCTCGGAGCGGGGGGGCTCCGCTTTGTGCAGCCCCCCCCTGCCCGCAGCCTGCTGCAGCCGGGGCTCCTCGCAGGGGGGGGGCTGCCTCTTCGCCACCCCCCAGAGCCCCCACCTCAGGACCCTCCGATCGGCCTCTGCGGGACGGTTGCCGGTAAGGTGTCTGCGCCCCCAACCCTGATTTATTTTATTTTTTTTTGGGGGGGGGGGGTGGGATGGGAGGGGGGCAGGGGGGGAGCTGCCGGCCCGGTGCAAAGAGGGGACGCGGTGGGGAGCAAGGAGGGGAGGGGGGGCAATGCCAGGAGCCCCCCCCCCAGGTCGTGCAGCTCCTCTGGGGGTCCCCCTGCACCGCCGGGCCTTGTGGGGGGGGGGGGGGGCAGGGCTCGGGCGTTTCTCAACTTCCCCGGCTGCCTCCCGCCTTCCTCTTTTCTCCCTTTTTCTGCTTTTTTTTTTTAAAACATTTTTATTTATTTCCCCCCCACCCCACCCTCCCGCTCTGGGTTGCTGCCGTGACCCGTCCCGGGGGGGGGGGCACACGGGGCTGGGGCGTTGCAGCTCCGCTGCCCAAGCTTGGTTCCCCCGGGGTTTGCAGTGGTGTTTTTTTTTTGGGGGGGGGGCTCGATGTGAAACCATCCTCCTCCTCCTTGGGAGGAAGGAGCCGAGCTGGGAGCTGGTTTATTTTTATTTTTTGAGGGCTGTTTTATTTATTTTTATTTATTTATTTATTTATTTATTTATTTATTTATGGGGGGGGGGTGCCGGTGACAGCCCCAATTTGGCCGTGTCACCCAGCAGTGACAGGCGCTGCGCTCGCACAACCCAAATGGGTCCCAAATGGGGAAACTGAGGCTGCCCCGTGCCCGGTATTGGGGCCCGCTTCTCCTGGGGGCCCCCCCCCCAAAAAAAAAAAAAATCTGCCCGGTCCCGCTGGCAGCTGGGGCTGGCATTTAATTCCTGCCGGCCCCGGGCGTGCGTCCAGCCCTCACTGTGCTCCTCTGTTCTCCCCGGTGCTGGAGCCATCCCAGACCCCGCTCGCTCCCATCAGCGTCCCCATTTATTGGGTTGTCCCCCCTTCCCCGGGCACTGATGCCTGGTGCCAGCTGGGGACGGCGCTGCGGTGGGGGCAGAGTTTTTATTTTTATTTTATTTATTTATTTATTTATTTATTGCTGTCCTCCCCACCCATGTGGGTCTGTCCTGGCTGCTGCCTTCTGCACGGCCCCATCCCGGGGGGGGGCTATGGGGCCACCTGTCCCCTCCCCGGCTTTGGGAGCTGCTTCTGGCCGCCTTTGTCTCCGCACAGCGTGGGATGCTGGGGGTGATTATATTCAGAGACACTCAGCGCCCCCCCTTCCCATAAAACACCCCAAATCCCCCCAAACGCAGCGCCTGCGTCGTCGCAGGGCTTTTTGGGGTCTCTTTGGCATCGCCACCCCTGCTCGGTGCTGTGCCCGGGGGATACTCGGGGTGCTCCTTGCCCATGTCCCCCCACCCTGTACAACTCTGGGGGGGGCTCACGTGGTGCTGGGGGCACCTCACTCTGTGCTAGGGGGTCCTGGTCTGTCCCAGTGCTGGCTGTGGGGTGCGCATTGAGGTGGAGACCCCGCTCCTGGGGACCCCACTCCTGGGGACCCCGCTCCTGGGGACCCTGCTTTTGGGGACCCCGCTGCGGTGGCTCGTGGCCCCGTTGGCTCGTGGCCCTGGTGGCTCGGGCACGCTCCCGAGCAGCAGCTTTGTGTGCAGAGCCGGGGCCAGCAGATAAGGAGCCTCCTCCCCGCTCCCACCTGCCCGCGGGACTCGTGCCATACAAGCAGGGACACTCGCCCCAGCTGCCTCGTATGGCCGTAGCCAGGAGCCCCCCCCGGGTTGTCCCGTGTCCCCTTGCGGGAAGGCAAGCCGGGTGTTCCCCTGTGACCCCAAAAGACCCCAGGTTTCCCTCGGTGTCTGCTTTGGGGTCCCCAGAATTGGCAAACGCCTCTCCCCCCATTTCGGAGCTGTGTCAGCCGGGGCTGATCCCACCCCGCCGTTGGCCATATGGGATCCCTGTAGGGTCTCTGTAGGGCTGCCAAGGAGCCTCGGGGAGGAGGGGGGGGTCCCGGCCCTCCCCACCCCCTCCGTGCTGGGGAAAAGGGGTTCAGAGTCCGCTGTGGGTTCGGTGCGGGCGGGCAGGGCAAGGCAGTGCAAAGAGCAGCTGGGGCGGGGGGGGGGGGTGGCAGCACCGTGAGCAGCGCCCTTTCCCCTCGGGGGGGGCACCGAACCCCTCGGCAGCCCCCCAGCTTTACTGGGGGGTTTCCCTGACCCGCCCCGATCCCACAGCCACCCATCAGAGGGGTGACTTTGGGGTGCTGCGGATGGGCATGGGGGTGCCCTGTGGGCCCCCACCCCGCTGCCAGGGCTCCTTTTGGCTCCGTGCCCCCCCCCTCTTCAGCTTCTCTCATTTGGGAACATCCCTTCCCTGCTCCGTGCAGGATTTGGGGTTTTTGGAGGGGTCGGAGATGCCCCAAGACCCTCAGAGGGGTAGCAGCACCCCGGGGTGCTGCCGTCCCCATCCCGGACCCGAACCTTCCCAGCTCTCCATCCTGCAGCCGGGGGCTGACCCCCCCCCTCCCCACCTCCAGCCCCCCAAAATCTGGCTTTAGCTGGGGGCTCTGCAAAAAAATATCCCAAAGGGCAAGGAGGGCGGCATCCCATGGCCAGACCCAGCACCCTTGGCACCACCACATCCCAAAAACGGTGTTGGCACCCCAGGGTGCCCCATGCCCCCCCAGCTGGGCGCATCGTGCCCCCCTTTACCCCCCCCTTTACTTTGGGTGCTGCTTTTCCCACGCCCTGGGGAGCGTGGGGGGGTGGCGGGGCTGGCTCCAAGGGGGGGGGCCCTGGGTGTGTGTGTGTGTTTTTTGGGGGGGTGGCGGTGACGGGCAGAGCCCGGGCAAGCCCGGGGAAGGCAGCGGCGCTGTTGAAACCCAGCGTTGGCAGGAGGAGCGCCCACGGCCCCCGGGGGGAGAGGTTGCTCTGATGCTTGGGCTGGGCGCTGGGTGTAGCCCCTGGCGCCGGGGCTGTTGGCAGGAGGAGCTGGCGGGGGGCCCGGACCCCCCCTTTTTTTTTTAATCCCCCCCCCAAGACCTCAGGCTCCTGCTGGCGCTTCCTTTCCCACCCCCAGCACCGTATCGGGGCGCTGCGGTGCCCCCTCCCCAGGCAGGGGTGGGTTGGAGGTGGTGTGGGGGGGTCCCGCAGTGTCCCCCAGGGTGGGGGGCTCAGGGTTTGGCCGCCTGCTCTGGTTCTTTCCGTCCTGTCCCCCCCCCGTTGGGGTCTGGCTGTGCCTGGCTCAGCTGTCGTGTGCCTAATCCTGCCCGGCTGGGGGGGGCGGCAGCTGGGACGCAGGAGGGGACCCCCTTGTCCTTTGTCCTTGGTGGCTGTGTCCCAGCCTTGGCCGGAGCCCCCCCCCCAGCTGCACGAGGGGTCCAAGTTGTCCCCCCCCTCCCGGCTCGGCTCCGTGCCTCAGTTTCCCCACTGCTCCAGGAGGGGGGGAGCAGCCGAAGCCCCGCACTTGGTGACGGGGACACGTGGGTGGCCACGGATGGGGGTGTCCGGGGGGGGGTCAGGGGTTGGGTTCCAGCAGGAGGGGGGCCCTGGATGTCCCCCCCCTCCCCGTTCCCATCCCAAATCTCGCTGGCAGCCGCTCGGGGTCTGCTGTGGGGCAGGCGTTTCCCATGCGCTCCCCGTTCCCCATTGGGGTGCTCGGGGGCAGAGCCGGGGATTGGGGCAAACCTGCTCGGGTGGGGGGGGTGCGGGGGAGGCAGCGAATTCCCACAGGAGCTCGGGAGGGCCCTGGCTCCCTGGGGGGGCGGAAAACAGCCCCCGGCGCCTCTCCTGCCCCTCCCCATGAAGCTGGGTGCGCTCCCCGGGGAGCCGGAGCTGTGCCGAGCAGCCACGGGGACCCCGCTGCCATGAGGGACGTGCTGGGGGGGGCCCTGTGGGACAGCCCGGCCTGGGAACAGGTATGGGATTGGGGGGGGGTGGGGGGCGCTGGGGGGAGTGGGGAGGAACCGGGGGGTGGCACTGGGGGGCTGCTTTCTGCTGCTGAGCCAAATTTTATCCCCCCCCCCTCTCCAGGGAAAGTCCTCGTGGTTGTGTGTAGGGATGGGGGGGTGGGGGGGGGTCCTTGTGCGCATTGCTGGGGGGGGGGGCGATTTGCTGACACCCCCAGCTCTGCTCTGCCCCCCCCTCTGCTTCCTGGGGTCCCAAAGTGATGCTGGAGGTTGGGGGGGGTCCCTTGGGGGTTACATCAAGGAGCTGCTTGGCAGGGTGTCCCCTCCCCAAGGACCCCAAGGACCCCATGGACCCCCCCCCCCTCCATTGCCCCCCCCACTTTGCTCCAGCTGGGTGCAGGTGGCTGGGGGCACCCACGGGTGGCAGTGGGGTCCCCTGTTCCACCCGCACCCGTGGCGGGGTGGTGGTGCTGGGGAGCAGCCCCGTGCCCCTCAGACCACCCGGGGGGGGTCCTTGGCAGGGGGGGGCAGGATCCATTCTCGCCGCCCCCTCCCAGCAGTTGTGGGTGCCGGCACCTCCCGTTCCCAGGGCTCGGCCCCCGGAGCCGTGCCAGCAGCTGGGGGCGAGGGGAAAAGGGGAAATCCCTGCGGCTTCCCCGGGCAGGAAGCAATTCGGGGGGGGGGAAGGGGGGGGTCCGGCCCCCCCACCCCAACCATCCCCGGTGGCCCCATCACCTGCACCGGGGTGCCGAGCGGGAGCGCTTCCCAGAAGGGGTGGTGGTGTTTGGTGAGGGGTCCCAGGGCTCCGCGATGCTCCGGGGGGGGGCTCCGGGGGGAGCCCGGTCCTGCCCCCCCAGTGTGGGTTTTTCTCTCCTGCTCCAGGCCAAGCGGAAGCTGGACCTGGAGGGCCTGGACTTCCGCACGCCCAAGGGGAAGGGCAGGACCCTGGCGCAGCTCCCCAGCCCCAGGAGTAAGTTGGGGTGCCAAGGGGGAGGTGCCGAGGGGGGGGACACCCCCATTTCTCAGGGGGATGGGGTGGCGGGATGGGGACGCAGATCTGGGCTCTTTCTTGGGTATTTTTCCACCAGTTTGGGGATTCCACCAGGTTCAGCGACCCCAGCGTGGCCAGCTCCGTGCCGCCTCCACCCCACGCTAAGGAAATGATGGGGGGGGGGTTTCTCTGCTTTCCCCGCAGCCCCCAAATCCCCCGGGGAGAAGACGCGCTACGACACCTCGCTGGGGCTGCTGACCAAGAAATTCATCCACCTGCTGAGCGAGTCGGCCGACGGCGTGCTGGACCTCAACCGCGCCGCCGAGGTGCTGGGGGTGCAGAAGCGCCGCATCTACGACATCACCAACGTGCTGGAGGGCATCCAGCTCATCCGCAAGAAGTCCAAGAACAACATCCAGTGGATGTAGGCGACGCTCCGGTCGGGGTTTTTGGGGAGGGGGTCGATTTGGGGGATGGGGGTCCTCACCTCTCCGCCTCTCCGCCCGCAGGGGGACGGGGATCTTCGAGGACGCGGCGCTGGCGGCCAAGCAGCAGGCGCTGCGGGGGGAGCTGGCCGAGCTGGCCAAGGGCGAGCGGGCGCTGGAGCAGCTCCTGCACGACTGCGCCCTGCAGCTCCGGCAGCTGACGGACCACGAGGACAACCAGAGATATCCTTAACCGGGGGGATCTGTGGCCGCGGGGGGCTGGGGGACCCTCTCCGAGTCCCGTTTTCTTCCTTCTTTTCCCCGCATGGCTCTCCCACGTGTCCTTGGGGGTCTTTGGCTCTCCCACGTGTCCTTGGGGGTCTTTGCCTGGTGGCAGCGCTGTGGGATGGGGAATTGGGGCCGTCCTGCTCGTGGTCTGTTTTTTTTGTTTTTTTTTTTTTCCTATACCCCCTCCCTGCCCACGCTGGCGTACGTCACCTACCAGGACCTCCGCACCATCAGCAGCTTCCAGGAGCAGACGGTGATCGCCGTCAAGGCTCCCCCCGAGACCAGGCTGGAGGTGCCGGACTTCAGCGAGGTGTGTGTGGGGCCGGGAGCTGTCCCCCCCAGCAGTGGGGTCAGTGCCGGGATGCTGCCGTGCCCACCCCGTGCCCCGCGGTGCCATCTGGGGCATCTCACGGGTGCAGCCCAGCATTGCCCTGAGCGCTTTTGGGGTGTCTCCGTGGGGCTGTTTGACCCCGAGCGGGTCCTTTGGGGTGGTGGGTGTGGGGTGGATGCCCTGCTGGGACCTCACACAGGTTGGGGGCAGCGGGGTGGGCTCTGGGTGCCCCCCTGGATGCCCCCTGAGCCCTGCTCTGCCCCGCCAGGACAACCTGCAGCTCCACCTGAAGAGCACCAACGGCCCCATCGAGGTGTACCTGTGCCCCGAGGAGATCCCGGAGGACAGCCCCACCAAGCAGCACGACGTCCCCCCCGCCACCACCACTCCCCCCCCGCAGGACAGCAGCACCCACCCCTCCCTACAAAACAACCCCGAGCCCCCCGGCGCATCCCCGCAGCCCCTCCACGGGCACCGTGCCCCATCCTTGTCCCCGTCCCTGCCCCTCTCCAGCCCGGGGGGGCCCGGCTCCCTGCTGGAGGTGGGGACGGGGCTGCTGGGCTCCCCCCAGCACCTCCTGCAGCAGACGGAGGACCAGCTGCCCTGCGCCCCCTCCTACCTGGACTCGGGTCCCTTCGTCACCTTCTCGCCCCCCCTGGAGCAGGACGACTACCTCTGGGGGCTGGAGGACGGCGAGGGCGTCAGCGACCTCTTCGAGGCGTACGACCTGGGGGAGCTGCTGAAGAACTGAGCCTCTGCTCCCCGATGCCACCCCCCTTTTGCCTGCTGTCCCCCCCCCCGTGCCTGTCCCCAAGGTGGGTGGGATGGAGAGCGCAGCGCCCTGCGTGGCTCTGCCTTGGTTGGGGGTTTTGGGGGTCCCAGGGCTGTGCTCCCCTCCGTCACCCCCACGGCTTGAGGGCTGCTGGCAGACCTGGGGGGGCTTTGTGTGCATGGCACGGGGTTAGGGGCACCCCAGCCCCCCCCGGGCAGCACAGAAACCCCTGCCCAGAAGGGGCTTTGCTGGGTGTGGGGTCACATTTTGGGGCTTGCTCCCCAGTCCGACTGGTGCTTCGGGGTGGTGGCTGCTGGTTTGGGTATTACGGGGCACGGTGCAGCTCTCCTGGGGTTTGAGCCGATGGATGGAACGCCACCGAGGTGGTGCTTCCCCCCCCCCAGAGCTGAAATATCCTTAAAAACTATTAGCCAAGATGAAATCACCTCTTGTTAAAGGGGGGAGGGCGCTGAACCTCTTAAACCAGCAGGCAGCAAACTGGGCAGGGAGCATCCCCTCTCCTGCCTCTGCCGGCTCCCTGAGAGCTGTCGGTGCTGGGGGGGTCTGAACTGGAGCTTAATGGGCAGGAGGTGGTGGTGACTGGGACTGGGGGGGTGCTGGGAGCAGGGTGGGGGGGTTGGTGTGGCTGTGCCAGCGGCAGAGCCAGGTGCGCCACGGACCCCTTGGTCCTTCCCAGCTGTGCCCCACAGAGAAACCCAAGCTTTTCCCTAATTGTACCGCTTTCCCCTTCCTCGCTGGGGGGCACGGAGGCCTGGCCCCCTCTCCCCATGCTGGGATCAACCTGGAGCCGATTCCCTGCGCTGATTTTTCCCCTGGGGGCCGGGCGCTGGGGCTGGAGGTGGCCACTTGGGTTTGTGCTCCCCACGGCCTCATCCCGCAGCAAGGATGCGCTGAGGGGGGGGGGGAAAATCCTGCCCTGGACCCCATCCCCTTGGGAACTTCGGGCAGAGTTCCTCCCTCCAGGCTTCTTCTCCTGCCCTTGTAAATTGTACCTTAATTATTGCACTGTATTTATACGGGACCCACCTTCGGCACGGCGCTGCCGAGGGTTTCTTTGGCGTGTCGGGTGTTTAAGCGAGTGTATTTAAGGCGTCCTTCCTCGAGTTCGCTCTCCTGCAGTTTGGCTTGGACGTGGTGTGGGTGAGGATGTGTTTTGGTGTGAAAAAAAAAAAAACTCGTGGCACTTGGTGTTTTCTGCTCGGGAGGGGATGAAATGAAATAAAACTTGGGAGTCAGAGGGGTTTGGTTTCCTCGAAGCGAAGCGGCGCTGCCTGCAGTGTTTGGAGGGGAGGGAGGTGGTTTTTTTGGGGAAAAAAAGTCTGGGTTTAGGATTTCTGGCAGGTCAGCCTGCTCCGAGGTGGGTGGATGGAGACGGGGGCTGAGATGAAGCCGTGATCTGAGCAAAGCAGCGAGCGTGGGACGAGCACTGGGGTCGGGATGCGCTTTAGGGGGCAGCTTTGGGGGCTGTGGGGCTGTCCCCATGGAGGGTCCTGCCCCAGGATTGCTGGGCTGTGACCTGGTGCTGCCCACGGTGCTGGGGACACGGTGACACCCCGAGGAGGGTGGGTGGCACCGGGTGCCTGTCCCCATCCCCGAGGGGCTGCGCGTCCCGGAGCAGCCGGAGGTGTCGCAGCCGTGCGCCCCCCCCCCTCTGCTTGGCAGTCCCCGGGCCGGCCAGGAGGTGGCAGGGCCACCCCAAAAAAGGGGCTGTGGGGTTTTAGGGGGGGCTCCCAAACCTGGCCCACGCTACTCTAAGTCCCTGCCCTGGGCTGGCCCCCCCCGTACCCTAAGGATGTGGGTGGATGGTGGGGGGGTCCCAGCCAGGACCCCTTGGGAGCCCCCCAAATTCCTCCTGTTCCCCTGCAGCGCAGCGGTCCCACCGGGGTCACAGCCTTGTGCCTGCCACATGGGGGCTGAGGGGGGTGTGTGGTGCCCCCCCATCCTATAAACACCTTCACCCCTGTAGCAGGGCCCCACACACCCATCCTGGCCTGCTGCTGGCCCAGGCTTTGGGGGGGGGGGGGTTCTTTACTGGGTTTTCTTTAATGTCACCGTGAGCTGTGGGGGACGGGGCTCAACAGAGCCACAAAGTGCGAGAGAAATGGTCTGGGGGCTTGCAGGGGTCTGTGGGAGCAGCAGAAAGGAGCTGGGGGGGGGGTGCAGGTGGGCAGGTTTGGGGGTCTTCGTGGTTTGGGGTGCCGGATTGGGCCTTTTGCCCAGCTCTGAGCCCCTCTCTGGGCAGCCAGGAGGGAAAGGAGGAAAGAGGAGGGGGCTCTGCCACCCCCTGACTGCCCCGGCTGGGGGCTGCTTGGTGCAGGGGTCCTGCAGGGCATCCTCGTGTCCTCTACCGGGAAACCCAAAGGCCCATTTAAAAAAAGAAAAGAATTAATTTATTTTTTGTCCTTGCAGCGAATCACCAGGTAAAGGGAACCCCAAATCCAGCTCCTCAGACCTGCAGGGGCCAGGGAGAGGCAAGAGGGCCAGTAGGACACGGAGCCCGTGCGCTGCCTCTAAAGGGGGGGTGCTCCAGAAGTGGCTCCATGTCCCTGCCTGCCCCTCTGCTCTTCTGCATCTCCTTTCCTGTTACTTCCCACCGGATTCTCCTTCCCCAGCCCCCCCGGACACCCCTCTGTTTGTTACCCCTGCTCCCCCTTTGCTTTCACTTCTTTTTTTGGGGACGTTTCCGAGCAGAGCCTCAGGGCAGCACTGGAGGCACGGGAGCAAAGCAAAGCGTGTGAGCTCTGCTCCTTGTGCTCGGAGGCCCTCCCTCCAGGGCCAAGCAGGGCACGGGGACAGCCGAGTGCTTGGGGGGGGGGGGTGGGAAATTTAATCTGGATTTAATCTGGATTTAAACCCGAGCCCTTGTGCACCCAAACTGGACTTCGGGGACACCCTGGGCGTCCCCATCTCCTCTCCATGCCCACGGCAGCCCCCGCTGCCCTCCCCACCCCGTGCTTTGCCCCCATCTCGTGGGCTCCGTGGGGCCTCTCCCCGCGTGGGGGGGCTGCCGTGGGCCCCCCCTCTCCGCTCCCAGCCTGACAGCGGAGGGGTGAGGCCGGGGGGGGGGTGCACGGAGGGGTTCCGCACCCTGGGGTCCCCAGTGCCGCGGACGGAGCCCCCCGCGCCCTGCTGGTGCCCCGGGACGGACCCTGCTGGGGGGGGGAAATACCGAGGGGGGGGGCACCGGGGGCTCTTCGCCTTTAACGGGCGGGCGGGCGGCGCTGCCCACGTCACGGCGGCGGGGAGGGAGCGAGCGGGCGGGCGGGCAGAGGGAGAAACTCCCCGGTGCAGCCCCCGCCGGCCTGCAGGGGATGGGGCGCTGAGCCGGGCCCCGGGAACCCCGGCACCCCCCGGTACCCCCCGGTACCCCCCGGCCACCCCCAGCCCCCCCACTGGCCCCCCAGGGCTCCGGGACGCTCAGCAGCTTCCCCGGTGCGCGCTCCCCGTGCGCTCCCCGTGCGCCCCCGGTGCGCCCCCGGTGCGCCCCGGCTCAGCCCCCGGCGCCCCCCTCCCGGTGCCCCCCCCGGTACCCCCCCGGTGCCGCCCGCACCATGCCCGAGCAGATCAGCGTGGCCGAGTTCCTGGCCGTGACCGGCGAGGACCTGAGCTCCCCGGCTGCCACCGCCTTCGCCTCCAAGATGCAGAAGTGCCGGGGGGCGGTGGGGGCTCTGGAGGAGGTGAGCGGGGCTGGGGGGAGGCTGGGGCTGCGCTTCCCCCTGGGGACACCCCCTGCGCCCCTATCCCAAAGCCTCGGGCACCCTGCAGTGAGCTGGCCCTGCAGCGAGCACCCACCTCTCCTCCTTGGGTTTCTATTTCTTGGGGTCCCCCCTGCGCCCCGCTTTGCTCCGAGCCCCCCGGGATGCTGGCCCTGGTTTGTGTCACTCGCTGCAGCTCGCCCCCGTTTTCATTTTTTACTTCTGCCCAGGGCTCGGCCGCTGCCGGCGTCGTCGCCGATGGCTCGGGGGAAAGAGGAACCCGGAAGGTTTTTTTGGGGGGCTGCTGTTTGTGCTGCCCCTCTCCGAGCAGCTGGGGGATGCGGGGCTTGGAGCCCGGCGCTCGCCCTGAGCCGCTGCTTCGGGACCCTCCAGCTGGGGCGGCCGTTTCCATCCTCCGCCCCACCACGCATTTTCTTGGGGCCAAGGCCTGCAGAAACGGGCAAAACCTCGCCGTTCCAGCTGGTTTCGTTTCCAGCTCTGGGTGCTGCCCAGGGGCTGGCTCCGTCCCCAGGGCTGGGCTCAGCATCGGCCCCGTGGCTCAGGGCTGGGAGCTGCTGCACCCTGAGGGGGTTGAGGTGTCCCTGGGGGGGGTCCCGTCGCTATTAAAGCCTGGGGTGGGATTTTTAGCCCCCCCAGAAGCCCCAGCAGCATTGACGGGGCTGGAGCAGGGTTGGCAGGGTGCATTTATCCCCCTCTCCCCGCTCCTGCCTCCAATAGAGGCTGTTTCCAGCTGGTCCCGCGTCCTTTGCCAATTCCTCTTAGCGCAGGAATGGCTTTGAAGGGGAGCCAGAGCTCGTGGGGCCGGCGCGGGCCCCCTCGGAGCCCCGGGGGCGGCGGGAAGGGAGCCCCCCAGGCTGGAAACCCAGCACCCGATGGTGCTGAGCATCCCGGGCCCCGCCAGCACGTGCTCTCCCCTGGCTCTGGCTCTTTCTCTCGGCCGGGAAGGGGGAGGCAGCTCCAGGCAGGAGGAAGCGGCAGGAATTTCGTTTGGCCGCTCGGCTTCCCTGGGGAGGCTGAAATTTAGGGGAAGGGGGACGGGGATTTGTGGGGGGGGGGGTCGCTTGGGAACGTTCCAGCGAGCGTGGCTGAGTGCCGGGACCTCTGACAGCAGCTTGGGTCTTTGGGGAAGAGGGGCCGGGGGGGCACGTGTCTGCCAGGGGGCTGCGGGGACCCTCGGGGGAGCCGAAAGGCAGCCAGGCCTTCGGCACCCAGCGCCCCGACGGAGGGGAAGAGGGAAATCCAAACAAACAAGCCCCAGCCCCGCGCCGCCGGCTGATCCTCGACGGGGCGATAGCATCAGGCAAGGAAAATAAACAGCGGCTGCTTTGGGAGGGGGGAGCCGGGGGGGGGCTGGGGCTTTGTGTCACCGCCTGTCCCTGCCCCATATCCATGCCGCTGCTTTGGAAGCCCGAGGGTGCTGAGTGCTGGTGTCTGCTGGGAGGGGGCAGCGCGACCCCCCCCAGGCACCCCAAAGCTGTGCCGGAGCAGGGTGCTGAGGGCAGGAGGCCGTGGGGCCACCGAGGTCCTCCCAGGTGTCCGAAGCTGCCCCGTGCCTCAGTTTCCCCTCTGGGATTACAAGGGGCTGCCCCCTCCCGGGGGTCTTGCGTGGCTTTGGGGTGCTGGGGGCTGGAGCCGCATCCCGTGGGGCTGAGAAATCAAATCGGGACGAGGCACAGGGAGGGGACCCGAGGGTCTCCAGTGTGGTGGCCGCATCCTGTGCTGCCCCACGGCAGGGTAAACACGACGTCCTGCCCTGCTCTGCCCTTTGCACCCGGAGTGGCCGCATCCTGCCCCGGCAGCAGCGCCGCCCCCAGCCCCCAGCCCCATCCCCGGGCGGCACGGAGAGGGGGGGGGCTGAAGAATGGCCCCCATTGAGCCGGGCGAGGAGCAGTGCTCGGGGTCCCCGGGCGGCTGCGGTGCAGGTGCGGGTCCGTCCCTCCCGCTGTCCCCATAGGGGATCCCTTGTCACCACCACCGGCTGTGCCGATGTGACCCCTTCTCGGGGTTGTCCCCAGTCCCCTCTCGGTGCTGCCCCACCTCCAGCATCCTTCTGGGCCGTGCTCCTGGGGGGCTGCCCCATCCCGTGGCACCGTCCCCTGGCTGAGCGGTGCCTGCGTGCGCCCAGAGCATCCCACCCTGCCTCAGTTTCCCCTTCCCGAGGCCGTGCCTGGCCAGTTTGCACACCCAGGGCTGCTCTCGGGCAGCACCAAGGCCACCCTGGGGCAAAGTCATGCTTGGGGGCTCACGGCATCATCTGCTGTCCCCCCCCCGAGCAGGAGGCAGGAGGAGCCTCTGCCCCGCAGCACAGCTCTGGAGAGCCCGGGGCGCTGGATTTAGGGCACGGATGGGCACGGGAGGCTTCAGGACACCCCAGCATCCTCCTCCTTGCTGAGAGACCCCCGAGAAGAGGGGGGGGGTTGGCTTCTGCCCCCCTCCCCACTGCCTCGTCCCGGCCAAGGCTGCCGGGCAGCACCTCGTCCAAGGAGGGGCCTCGAGGAGAGAGGCGCCGGAGCCGGGCTGACCCCGCTGTCAGGAAATGGGCCTTGACATCAGCCCGAAAACCTTCGCTGGGAGAGCGAGAGCGAGAGAGAGCGAGAGAGAGCCTCTTTATTGTAATTCCTCGGCGGTTTCATCCCTCGCCCTGCTCCGTTCACGCCCTCCGAATATTTCCAGCCTGTTATCATGCCTCTGGTACCTGCAGCGCAGCCAAGGCGGCCTTAACCCTTTCCTGCTGTGTGCGTCTCCAGCTGCCTGAGCGGGATTGGGGTTGGGGTTTTGGGGTGTTTGCCCCCGTGCTTGGCAGATGGTGGCGGTGAGGGCCCCGTGCCCATGGCGAGGGACAGAGCGGGGACGGCGTCGGGGCATGGAGCTGGGGGCTGCAGCCAAGACCCTGCATGGGTCAGGGGTTGCAGAAAGCTGTGCCCCATCCTCAGGGTGGGATTTGTGCCGTTGAGGTCCCTGCTGGGCATGGGCAGGATGCAGATTTTGGTTTTGGTTCTTCCATGCTGGGGACCTTTGTGCGCCTCGGGTGCCGTGCCCATCCCAGGGGACACGTCCTGGGCACGGCTGGCGCATCCGTGCTGCGTCACGGGGATGCCGTCCTCCTCTCCCTGCTTCAAACAACCCCCGGGAGAGCCACGGAGGCATTTTCACAGCTGCTGGGGGCTGCTCGCTCCCAAACAGACGCTGCCCCCAACCCTCTCACCCCGTGCCACCGCCTCGCTCCGGCGTCACCTCCCCGGGGCGGTCGGGACCGTGGGGACCGCGGGGCTGCGGCATCCCCAGCACCGCTCCTGCACGGGGCCGGGTGCTTCCAGCTCCTGTCCCCGGGAGCTTGGCTGCTGCCCCGCACATCTGTGTGGCAGAGCAGGCACCCGGCCAAGGAGCCCTGTGTGGCCAGCAGGGCGGGGGGGGGGAAGCGGCCGCCCCCCTCCCTCGGCAGCGCTGACGGGGGTTTGTTCCTTTGCTTTCGCAGAGCCTGGACGGGGACCAAGCCGTGCTCCAGAGAATAAGGAAATATGTGAAAGCCATTCACGTCTCCGGGCTCAGTAAGTCGGGTTGCCAGAGCCGTTGGGCGGCCCCGGGCTGCCACGGTCACGTCCTCCCCCCTGGTGCCATCCGTGGGTGGTGGCCCTTGGGGACACGGGTGCTTGCAGTGTGCTGGGGTGCTGAAAGCTGGGTGAAAAAGGGGGTGAAAATGTAAATTGAGAGTTTTTTGGGGGTTGCATAAGGAGCATCGCTGGTGTCCTGCTCTGCTCCAAAGGGACAGGGACGTGGGTGCGGGTGGGACCCGCGATGGGACCTCCTGGGGAAGGGGGTCCCGCAGGGCCACCGTGCCACCGTCCCCACCTCACCGCTGTTCCCCCCCCGCGCAGCCCACGTGGATAACGAGGAGCAGTACAGCGAGGCCCTGGAGAATTTCGGCAACAACCACCTCTCCCAGAACAACCACGAGCTCTCCACCGGCTTCCTCAACCTGGCCGTCTTCACCCGCGAGGTCACCGCGCTCTTCAAGAACCTGGTGAGCCCCCGACCCCGCGGGGAGCAACCTCAGCCCGCTGCCCCCGTCCTGCCGGGGCCAAGCTGGGGAAAATCTGCACCAGGCCTCAGGATTTGGGGCAGAGACCCCTCAAGGCTGCCCTCCACCGTGGCAGGAGGTCCCAAATCCCACCCCAGACTTGGGGATGCTCGCGGGCCACCCTCCGCTGGATTTTCCAGCTCCCTCCCAGCTCTGCTGGGGACACCAGGGCTGCGATTTGCCGTGCGGTTGGGGCTGCTGGTTTTGTTTTTTTTTTTCTCCCCCTTTCTTTCTCTCTTTTTTTTTTTTCACATCTCTGATCTCGCTTGCCAAGAAGTAAATCAAAGCCACGCTGAGCGCGCAGCGGGGCCGTGGGGAGCCGCAGCCGCGCGGGAGGCAGCAGAGGCGGCTGGAGCCGTCCCCGCCGTGGGAGGGGGGGGGGCACGGCTCTTTTTGGGGTCTCTTTTCTCCAAACGCATCTTCTTGCTTCGATTTGTCGAGGCTGGAGGGGTTGGATAGCATGGGGGGAGAGCTGGGCTTTGTGCTGGGTGGGATCTGGGACCATGCAGCAAAGCCTTGGGGCATCCCCTGCTGGCTCCTCGCTACCCTCGGGTCCCTTTTGAAGCCCCCCCTAAAAGAAAACATACAAAAAAAAGAGAATTTGTACCCTCTGGCTGTGCTGAAGGAGCAGGCTCCTTGCTGCTGCCCTTCCCCCAGCAGGAATTATTTCAGATTTCACGTCCTCCTCTCCCAGTTACCCCAGCCCGGGCCTCCCCGCTTCCTCTCCTCCCCATCGCGCCCATCCCGGCCCGGCCGGAGCCCCGTGCTCCGGGGGGGGCTCCGTGGGGAAAACGTCGCGGGGAAGGAGCTGAACCGGTTCCCTGGGCGAGGGCAGTGCCCGCGCTGCACCTCCCCTGTGCCACGTGCTGCAGGCGTGGGAACAGCCGCCCCTGCCCCAAACCCTCCCCAGCGGGATCCCGGCACCGCGCGCACGGGTGGAAGGATGGGGCGCCCCATTTCCCAGCCTTTTGGGGCCGGTTCCTGCCCCGGGGGTGGGTTTCTCCCCCTGTGATGTTGGGGAGCAAAACCCCTCGGGAGACTTGGAGAGGAATTTGAGGGGTTTTGCAGCCATGCGGTGTCCTCTCCGATGCAAAAGGTGTGCCCCCAGCATCGCCCCGGTGCCCACCTGGGATCACCCTACAATTTGGGGCTGCCCCATGGGGACCCCCGCATTTGGGGTCAGACGGAGAGGCACCGGGATGGGAGCAGGCTCCCGCGTCCCCTCTGCTTTTGGGGACACCCCTGGCCCCCCAGCCCGGGAGGGGACACTTTGGGAAGCTCTCCCTGACCTCAGGAGGTCCCAGCCCTGTGGTCCCTGCCCGGTCCCAGCCCGGGTGCCTGCGCCGTGCCGCGGGGAGGACGGGGCCGGGGCCAGGGTGGTGATGGGGGGGAGCAGCTCCGGTTTTGGCAGCCGCGGCGCTGATGTGGTTTGTGGGAAGGGCCCCGCGTCAGACATCTTGCAGCCAGCTCCAGCAAGCCCCAGCCTGCCCCTGCCTGCAGCCAGCCCCATTTCCAGCCTCCTTAACCCTTACCGGGGCAGCGATTTTACTGGGGAGGGGGGCCCAAGGCTGGAAAGGTCGCGGAGCTCCTGCGTCCCGACCTGTCCCGATGCGGGGACGCCCCTGGGGTGACCCCGTCCCCGTCTCTGCCCTTCCCAGGTGCAGAACCTGAACAACATCGTCTCCTTCCCCCTGGACAGCCTGCTGAAGGGGCAGCTGAAGGACGGCCGCCTGGTGAGTCCCCAGCCCTGCTTCCTGGGCTGCAGGGTCCCTGCGTGGGGACAAAACGCCACAGCCTTGGGGACACGGCTGGTGGCACGGAGCAAGGGGCAGAGACGCAGTGGGGACGTCCCCGAAGCAGGGGACAGGGCGCTGGCACAGCGATGCAAAGCGAAGCCCTCAATTTTGGGACGCGGCTTTGGTGCCACCGGCTCCGTGCCTGTCCCTTCGCCCCCCCTGATGGCTGCCGTCCCCCCTCTCCTCTCGCTGCAGGACTCCAAGAAGCAGATCGAAAAGGCCTGGAAGGATTACGAGACCAAAGTGTAAGCGACCCCGTGCCCGGAGCAAAATCCCCCTAATCCCCCCGTGCACGGAGGTGTTTGGTGCAGGGCTGCAGCCAGGCTCTGCGCCAGCCTTGGGGAGGTTTCGCCTGCCCCATCCCACCCCCCTGCCACCTCTGCAGCTCCCTGGGGACCCCCTTTTTGGGCAGGGCCATCCCCAGGGTCCCCCCCAGTCTCAGGCAGGGCTGTCCCCGAGCTGTCCCCGTGCTGTCCCACAGGGGGAAGATGGAGAAGGAGAAGGAGCGCGCGCGCCTGGCGGGGGTCATCCAGGCGGAACCGTCGGCGGCGGAGCTGGCCGAGGACATGCAGAAGGAGCGGCGCCTCTTCCAGCTCCACATGTGCGAGGTGGGGGCTGCGCCGGGGGGCTCAGGGCCCTTTGGGGTCGGGGGGACGCAGGGGGCAGCTGTGCAGGGCACTCAGTCCCTGTCCCCAGCGCCAGAGCGGTCCCAGTGGGTGCAGCGTGGGGCACTCGTCTGTCCCCAGTGTGTCCCCGTGGGGTCCTGGCTCGGGGACCCTCCTGTCCCCCCCCCGTGGGATGTGGGTGCAGGTGGGACACCCTGCAGGGAGCACCGGGCACTGCACCCACATCCTCCGGGTCCTGGTCCTGCACCTCCCCTGCCAAACCAGGGGCTGGCATTTGGGGCAAAAGGCGATCCTTTTGGATAAACCCCTTGAAAGGCGCAGTTTATCTTTGCAGTTTGGCCCTAATGGCAAAACCGGAGATGCTCCCCAGGTCCCCAAGCACACAGAGGGGCACAAGCCAAGGGCAGAGACCTGGTGCCAGCCCCCCCAGCCCCCCCCATTCCCGTCCCCGGGGCTCTCCCCCATCCCCTCCCCTATCCCCAGGGCTCCCGGGGTGCAAAGGGCAGGGTGTGCGGGGAGGAGGCAGCGCCGCAGCGGGGTCGGGGCTGCTGGCTGGGGCTGGGCCAGATGAGTCAGGGCTTTGAATAGCAGCTCTGTTAAATAAATACCAGCGCATGGAAACGGCCGGGGGGGGGCTGCTCGCTTCCAGCAGCGCCTGCGCAAGGGCACCCGCCTGGCAGCGGGGCGCATGGGGCTGGCACGCTCCTGCACGTGTGCGCACGCTCGTGTGCACGCGGTGTTTGCTGCTTTTGGGGCTGGGGGCGCATTGGGTTTCCACCCCAAGGGTGCTTGGTGGGGCGCAGCTCCTCGCCGGGGGGGGTCCCGTGGGTGGGTGGGCGCAGCGGGACGCCCAGCAGGAGTCTGGGCAGGGCAGTGCCCTGTTACCACCACCTCAGGGCATCGGTGGCAGGGGGGCAGAGCCCCCTCAAAACTCCTTCACCCCTCCCCATGTGGCTCCTCGGCCACATCTGGAGCTGCCCCTCTCCATCCTGCTCCCCAACCCCTGGCGGCCCCCCCGGCAGAGGAGCTGTGGGGTCCCTCGGGGGCTCCAGCACGCCCCGGGGCTGTCGGGCCGTGGAAAGCCCCTGCAGCTGGAACTTGGCCGCCTTCCCCTCTGCTCCTCTCCCAAAACATTTCGGGGGGGAGGCAGGGAGGAGGCCAGCATCCAGCTGCGCGGGGCTGAGGCTGCGCTCGCCCAGGGGAGGCTCCAGGCTCCTCTCCGTGCATGGGGCTCTCCTAACCCAGGGGTCTGGGTCTTTTCCTGCAGGTGAGGGACAGGTTTGATGTACAAAACGATTCCGTTTTTAATTTTTTTTTCCTTAAGCTGGCTCGGGCTCGGGTTATTTATTAACTCCAGAAGCACTCAGCAGCGGGAGAAGCGCGCCCGGCCGGGAACCCTGGAGGCACGCCTCGGCCCTTGAACTTTGCAGGGCTTGGAGCTCCTCCAGCTCCAGGTTTTTCGGAGGGTGGTCCCCGGAGGCTGCCTTCACAGCTGACCTCGTGGCTTCTTGAAGCCGAGCCAGCATCACAACCCTCCTGCCCACGCGGGGAAGGTTGGGGGGGGGGTGAGGACCGGTCCTGGTCCCCACCACCTAACCCGCTGCCTTCTGCCCCCCCAGTACCTGCTGAAAGCCAGCGAGAGTCAGATGAAGCAAGGGCCGGATTTCCTGCAGAGCCTCATCAAGTTTTTCCATGCCCAGCACAAGTAGGTGGCTGTCACCGCCGGGAGCGCTCGGGGAGGGGTTTTGGGGACACCCCGCTCCCTGTCCTGGGGGCTGAGCGACCCCACAAGCTCCCGGGGAAGGTGCTGGGCAGGGCCCGACGCTGTCCGGTCGGGATTTTTGGCTCTGGGAGATGCAAACGTGTCCGTAAGGGCTGGGGGAAGGGGCTTGGCCGGGGATGGAGCCGATGATTTGGTTTCTGGATGGATTTCCAGGGATGAGTTCAGCCGAAAGGCTCCGTCGGTAGCCTCGGAGCTCGTAGCGAGGGCGTTTGGGGCAGGGGGAACGTCCCCCTCCTTCCCCTCCTTCCCCTCCTTCCCTTGCACCCCTCCGGCTCTCAAGTGGGGAAACTGAGGCAGGGAGGGGGCGGTGGCACCCGGGGAAGGGTCCCAAAGGGGCCAGGATCTGGCCTCAGCCCCTCGAGATCGGCTTGCAGCGAGCAAGAGGCCAACCCCGTGCCCCAAACACCCGAAATATTTGTGGTACCCTGGACCCCATGGGCTGGACGTGGGCTTTGCAGCATCCCAGCAGCAAGGGAACTGCAGAGCCAGAGCAGCTCCCCAGGACATCAGGGGGGGGGCTGCTGCGTCCCCCCGCCACGCTTTCTCTAAATAAGCTCTTTTTTCCCCATCGTTTTTCCCCATTTGCATCTTAATGGCGTGAAATCAATGCCCAGTTTCTTCCAAGACGGCTGGAAGGCTGCCCAGAACCTCTACCCCTTCATCGAGAAGCTGGCCGTGTCCCTCCACGCGGTGAGTCCCCCCAGCTCCCTCCCCACCCGCCGCCACCTGGGACGCGTCCCCCGGGCCGTGTCCCCCCCCCGGGACACCGCGGTCCCCGCTCCTTTTCCAGCTCCACCAGGCGCAGGAGGAGGAGGTGAAGCAGCTGGCGCAGACCCGCGATTCCCTCCGCAGCATCCTGCAGCTGGACACCAAGGAGGTGACGGCAGCTGGAGGGGCGCCAGGGGAGGTGGCATGGGCTGGGGACGGGGGGCTGCGGAGGAGCAAAGCAGGGCGTCCGTGGGGGAGATTTGTAGGGAGGAGGAGATCTATAGGGTGATGGACATCAATGAAAGGAGATCTGTAGGGAGGAGGAGATCTATATATAGGGTGATGGACATCCATGGGAGGAGATCTATAGGGAGAAGAACATCAATGGGAGGAGATCTGTAGGGTGGAGAGCATCAGTGAAAGGAGATCTGTAAGGTGGAGGGTATCAACGAGTCAATGAGAGGACATCTATAGGGTGGAGGACATCTATAGGGAGGAGGACATCCATGGAGGAGATCTATAGGGAGGAGAACATCAGTAGGAGGAGGTCTATAGGGTGGAGGGCATCAGTGAAAGGAGGTCTGTAGGGTGAAGAGCATCAACGAGACGAGATCTATAGGGTGAAGGACATTGATGAGAGGAGATCTATAGGGAGGAAAACATCAATGGGAGGAGTGTGTAGGAGGAGATCTATAGGGTGATGGACATCCATAGGAGGAGATCTATAGGGTGGAGAACATCAATGAGAGGAGATCTATAGGGAGGAGGACATCCGTGGGATGAGATCTGTAGGGTGGAGGGCATCAGTGAGAGGAGATCTGTAGGGAGGAGGACATCCATGGGAGGAGATCTATAGGGTGAAGGACATTGATGAGAGGAGATCTATAGGGAGGAAAACATCAATGGGAGATCTATAGGGTGGAGGGCATCAATGAGAGGAGATCTACAGGGATGAGGACATCCATGGAGGAGATCTATAGGGAGATGGACATCCATGGGAGAAGGATGTCCGTGGAGGAGATCTATAGGGTGGAGGGCGTCAATGAGAGGAGATCTGTAGGGTGGAGGACATCTGTGGGAGGAGATCTACGGGGATGAGGACATCTGTAGGAGGAGATCTCTAGGGTGGAGGAGATCAACAAGAGGAGATCTGTAGGGTGGAGGAGGACATCAATGAGAGGAGGTCTGTAGGGTGGAGGACACCTACAGGGAGGAGGACATCCATGGGAGCAGGGCAGGGGGGGGATGCTCAAAGGGGACGGAGGTCTCTGACTCCATAACGAGGTCCCCCAGGGGCAGGGCCACTTCTGCCTCTCTCCCATTGCCTTTTTTGCCTAAATGCCTTTTTTTTCCTTTTCCTGGTGAGCTCAGGAAAACCTGAGCAGGAAGAACTCCGGCAGCGGCTACAGCATCCACCAGCACCAAGGGAACAAGCAGTACGGGACGGAGAAGTCGGGGTTCCTGTACAAGAAGAGCGATGGGTGAGGGCGGGCGTTACCCCAGCTCGGGAGCCCCCTGGGGGACACCTTTGGGTGAGGGTTTGGTGCCGTTCCGCAGACCTTTGGGTGCTGTCGGTCCCGTCTGGCCTTGAGGAGGTCTAAAGGCTTGGAAAATCCCATTTTCCCATGGCTGGAGGTGGTGGTTGGGGTGGGCGGGTGTCCAGCAGGCTCTGAGCTCCACGTGGTGCTCCCCTGGGAGCCCTGACCCCAAATGTGGGTCCCCAGGAACCCAGCACCGGGTTCACCCCGAGCTGTGCTGGTGATGTGGGGGCTGAAACCCCTTATTTCCTGGGCATGGGGGCAGAAATCATCCTGCTGGGATGGGTCAGGGGGAAAAAATAACTCTTATAGCCCCAAAGGGATCTCCAGCGAGTTGGAGGAAGCGCGACCCTAAAATCCCAAAGCCTCTCCAGGGGCTGCTGGGGGTGGTTTTGGGGTGGGTGGACGTGGTCAGGGATGCGCGGTGTGTCCTCACCCCTCCTGCTCTGGCTCAGGATCCGCAAAGTGTGGCAGAAGAGGAAGTGTGGGGTGAAGTACGGCTGCCTGACCATCTCCCACAGCACGGTGAGGGAACCGGGGGGACCTTCATCCCCGTGGTCACCCCGGGGTGCTGCCGGCACGTACCGCCCGGCGCAGACCCCACAGGGGTACCCGGCTGTGCGCCCCGAGCTGCAGAACCCTTTTTTTGCCATCCCCTGCTGGGTGCTGCCCCAAAACCCACCCAGCTCCGTGTCCCCTGCCCTTTGGGGACGTGACCTCGGCTGTAGGGCTTTTCCCCGAGCACCCCACTTGTGCCCCAAGCAGCAAAGCAAGCCCCAATTTGGGGTGTCCCTAGCAGGGGGTCCCTCGCCCCGCGCGTTTGCTGCGTGCCGGTGGCGTGGGGGCTTTAGTGGGGGTTTTAGGAGGGTTTTTAGGGGGGCGTTGAGGCTGCAGAGGAGGCCAAAGGGGCTCGGAGTGGTTTTGGGGTGGGGGTGCTGCCATCTGGGGGCAGAGGCTGCAAAGGTGCAGCCCCGGTCCCAGCCCCGTTCCGCAAAGGGAACACGCAGGGAAGGGGTTGGAGAGGTGCTGAACCTCTGTGCGCCCCAAAAGGGGACCTCTGGGGACCTCCCCTAACCCCGCTCTGTCCCCCCTGCCCTACAGATAAACCGCCCCCCCGTCAAGCTGAACCTGCTGACGTGCCAGGTGCGGCCCCACGCCGAGGAGAAGAAATGCTTCGACCTGGTGACGCGTGAGTGCCCCCGCTCCGTGTCCTCGTGGGTCTGGTTTAGGGTCCTGGGGACAGACCCTGGGTGGGTATCCCGGGGCGGGAGGGGTGCACATGATTTTTTTTTTTTATGGAGGAAGGACAAAGCCTGCCAGGCGCTGGCTGCCTCGAGCTCCAGACAAGAGGTGGCAGCAGGGTGTCGGGAGAGCGATGCGCGGAGATTTTTTAGCAAAAAAAAAGTAGCTCCATCCCCTTCTTGCCACCCTGCTGCAAATTGATCCTAAACGCCCCATCCCAGCCCTTTTCTGCATTTTTTTTTTGTGTTCCTAAATGCTCACCCGTGTCCCCATCCCTGCAGACAACAGGACGTACCACTTCCAAGCCGAGGACGAGCAGGAGTGCGTGGTGTAAGTGCCGGTGCCGTCCCCACCCCACGCGAGCGCGCAAAACTCCACGGGGCTTAAACCCCCCCGTGGCTGCACCCCGAGCCCCGCGCGGTGCTGGCCCCGGTGCGTTCCCCACGAGGCTCTGCTCCCCCTGCCCAGGTGGGTTTCGGTGCTGCAGAACAGCAAGGACGAAGCCCTGAGCAACGCCTTCAAGGGCGAGCCCAACGGCGGCGCAGCCTCGGCGGGCGGCGCGGCGGACGGCGGCGTGCAGGAGCTCACCAAGCTGGTGATCAGCGAGGTGAAGAACATGCCAGGCAACAAGCAGTGCTGCGACTGCGGGGCCCCGGGTAGGTTAAGGATCCGGGGTGTGGGATGCAGCGGGATGGAGGTGGTAGGGGGCCGGGGGGTGATGCTGAGCCCCCCCCCCCCGCCCCGCTGCGCCCTGCAGACCCCACGTGGCTCTCCACCAACCTGGGCATCCTGACGTGCATCGAGTGCTCCGGCATCCACCGGGAGCTGGGCGTGCATTATTCCCGCATCCAGTCCCTCACCCTGGATGTCCTCAGCACCTCCGAGCTGCTGGTAAGCGGCTCCCTGATCCCGGGGGGCTGGCATCTGCCAGGAATCATCCTCTGCTCGGGGGCTCGGGGGCTCCCCAACCTCCTGGGTGCGGGTTTCAACCCTCCTCCTCCTCCTCCCTCCTGGTCTCTTACCAGCTGGCCTCGGTTTCCCCCCAGCTGCAGATTTCTGCCCCTAGCATGGTGCTCTAGGGATTCAGGGGGGGCTCTGGGAAGTGATTGCTAATAGGGGGGAAGATGCTGGCAGCCCCCCAGGACCTGCTCCCTGCTCCAGCAAACTGCTGGGAGAAAGGCTCATCCCTGGGGGAGATGGGGGGTGGCAAGGTGCTGGCTGGATCCGGTGGATTCCCCTCTCCATCCCTCCACGATGGGGATGGGACATCCCAGGGCAAGCCCGGCCAGGATTTTGGGGAGGGGGGGTGGCCCCTCTGTGCCCAGGGCTCGTCTCCCCCTGCCCCTCTCGCCACAGCTGGCCGTCAGCGTGGGGAACACCCGCTTCAACGAGATCATGGAGGCCACGCTGCCCACGCAGGACTGCCCTAAACCCTCGGCCAGCAGCGATATGTGAGTTCCTAAATGCTTGGGGGGGGGCACAGAGTGGGCTGGGGAGGGGGCTCCGTGTCCCCACCATCCCCACCCCGAGGACTGGGGGCTCACCGGTGCCATTGCCCTGGACGTCGGGACCTGCACCTCTCACAGAGCTTCCCCCCAAAAAAATCCGACTGTGGGAGGGGGGCTCTGTGTGAGGTGTGGGGGTGCCTGCTGATGCCTTCCCCCCCCCCCCTGCAGGAGCGCACGCAAGGAGTACATCGTGGCCAAGTACATGGAGCGGCGCTACGTGCAGCGGGGGGGCCGCGACGAGCCCCACCGCCTCTGGGACGCCATCCGCACCCGCGACCTCCTGGCGCTGCTGCAGGCATTCGCCGAAGGGCACGATCTGGCCAAGCCCCTGGTGACCCCCGAGGGCCAGGTGAGCCCTCTGGGAGCCCCCCCCCGCGAGGGATTCGCTCAGCCTGGGGGGTGTTTTGGGGTCCCTGGGCTCAGCTGTGGTCTCCCACCTCCGCTGGCAGGACGCGGGCGAGCTGGCGCTGCACGTGGCCGTGCGCTACGCCGACAGATCGTCCCTGCCGCTGGTGGACTTCATCATCCAAAACGGGTACGTCCAGCTGGGGTCATGCCACTTGTGGTGTCCCCGTGATGTCCCCGAGGTGCCCGGGTGTCCCCACGAGGACGGGGAGCAGGTGCTTGCATTCTTTGGAGCTGTCGCTGCTGCGCACAGGGGGACGCTGGACCGGGCGACGCAGGACGGGAACACGGCTCTGCACTACGGCGCGCTCTACAACCAGCCCAACTGCCTCAAGCTGCTCCTGAAGGGCAAAGCGGCGTTCACCGCGGGTACGGGGACACGGTTTAGGGCTGGAAGGAAAGGGGGGGGACTTGGGGCCGAGCCCTGTCCCTGCGGAGCAGCCGGGATCTGTCCCCATCCCTCCCTCACTGCAGTGAACGCGGCCGGAGAGACGGCGCTGGACGTGGCCGAGGAGGCTGAAGCACAGCGAGTGCGAGGAGCTGGTAGGTGGGGTGGGGGCAGGGAGGGGGCTGATGCTGGGGTGCACCCGTGGTGGGGGCACCCCGGAGCTGGCCACCCCCCCGCTGACACCCCCGCTGTCCCCCAGCTGGAGCAGGCGCAGGCGGGGAAGCTCTCGCTGCAGGTCCACGTGGATTACGACTGGGAGCCCCCCCAGGAGTACACCTACGACAGCGAGGACGAGCTGGAGGAGAAGGTGCCCAGGGGACGGTGGCAAGGGGGGGGGGGGGACAGGGCCAGACCCTGCACCCCCACCAACGGGACAGGGACAGGGGGCAGGAGGGGGCTGCAGGGGGTGCGGGGGGGCCCCCGGCAGCTCCGCTGTCCGGGTGTGTGCCCCCAGGTGAGCCCCCTCCAGCGCTCCTTCAAGGGCTCCTCGCCGCTGGCCGCCAGCCCCCCCCCCGCCGCCGCCCCCGCCTGCCCCCAGGGCCGCTGGAGCTGCATGGGGATGGACATCACCAACAAGACCTACGAGACCATCCTGGTGCCCTCGCGTCCCACCCCCCGCCGGGCGCACAGCGAGGAGATGCCCCCCCCGCTGCCCCTCAAAAACCCCACGCGGGGCGGCCCCCGCCCCAAACCCGGCCCCAGCCCCACAGGTTAGTCTCGGGGGGGGCCACACGCTGCGTGGATGCTCAGTGGGGTGCCTCAGTGTCCCCATTGTGTGTGTCCCCCCCCCCCAGAGCGCCCCGAGCTCCACCGGCAGGCGTCGGAGCCGCACTTCTCGGGGCTGGCGGAGGCCCCCCCCGGGCAACGCAGCCTCTCCTCTTCCTCCTCCTCTTCCTCCTCCATGGGGGCTCTGGATGGGGCGGCCGCGTCCCCCCCCGGCACCCGCAGCCCCCCCGAGGCACGGCGGGCGGCGTACTGGGAGACCCGCTCGGAAACGGAGAGCGGGGCCGCGCGGAGGGGGGGCCGGAGCTGAGTCCCCCCCCCGTGCAGCCCCCGCCGGGAGGCCTGGCCCCCGATGTCACCCCCGTCAAGTTCGGGTAGGGGTCCCCCAAAACTCAGGGGACGCGTTGAGGGGGGGGGAGGTGGTTGTGGGGTGGTGGTGGGAGGAACCCCAAATTGTCCCTGGGGGTGTCAGAGCAAAGGCCCCCCCCTCCCCAGCCAGCCTGGAGCCCCCCCAGGGATGGGGACAAAGGAGGGGACAGGGGCACCGTGGGGAGGGGGGGCTGTCCCTAGAGGTGACACGGATCCTTTGGGGGGGACACCGATACCGGGACCCACTGGAAGTTACCAAATTTTATTTTTTCCCCCCCCCCATTTTGGGATTTGTGGTGGGACGCTTTGAGGAAGGGTGGGGGCTGCTGGTGGCTGTCAAAGGCCCCCCCCCCCGTGAGCACCCGGTGGGCTGTGGGTGGCACCCTGCTCCCTTGGGTGTCCCAGGGGGGAACCCAACAGCACCGAGACCTTGTGGGGAGGGGGACGGGGTGCCGGGGGGGGGGCTGACTCTGCCCCTGCTGCCCCTGGTAGCTCGGAGAGCACCCGCTCGTACCGGCGCATCAGCGGGGTGGCCACCAAAGCCGGCTCAGCCGCCCCCCCCCAGAGCCCCGAGGACCCCACTCCCAGCAAGGTGCCCCCCGTGCCCATGCCCCGGCGCTTCGCTCCGGTAGGTGGCACAATTTGGGGTGGGGGGGCTTGGACAGGGTGCAGGGGAGAGGGTGGTTTTTGGGGGGGGAGCTTTGGGGACACCCCTCCGTGCCCAAGCATCGCTGCAGCTCTTGTCCCAAGGGGGTGGATGGAGGTGTTGGGGGGGGGTCACAGCCCCTGGGGTGGGTTTGGGGGGGGGGGTGGCTGCCCCCCCCCCCTCGCTGACCCCGTTCCTCGCGCAGGCCAAGGGGAGGCAGAAGCGGGTGAAGGCGGTGGCTGACTGCAAGGGGGACAAGGCGCGGGAGCTGACCTTCTCCAAGGGCGAGGTGATCGTGGTGACGCGGGAGGAGGATGAGCAGAGCTGGGTGAGCCCCCCCGGGGCACGGCCCCCCCCCCCTTCTCCCCCTGCTCATTTTGGGGGGCCACAGATGGGTACCCCCCACCCTGTCTGTGCTGGTGGTGGTCACCCCAGGCTGCCGGTGCCACCCCACAAGGGCTCGTGGCCATCGGTCCCCGCCTTCCTCCCCCTCACCACCCACCCTGGGACCCCCCCACACCCCCTGACACCCCTCTTTTTCCCCCCAGGTCGGCTTCATCGAGGGCGACGGCTCCCGCACCGGTGTCTTCCCCGCCAGCTTCGTCCACCTCTTGCAAGACTGACTGGGTCCCCCCCCCGCTGCCCGTTTTGTCCCCGTCCCCTGGGGGCTGGGGGCGCACGGGGCGGGCTGGGAGCTGGAGCCGGACCCCCCCCTGGCCCCTCCCTGCCCTCGCCCCTTTCCACGGGGCCCCGGGTGCTGCAGCCCCTGGTATGGGGCCGTGTGGCTGCTGCCCTCCCAGGGGACGTGGGGACCCCCAGGTTGGGACCCTCACCCCCTGGGTGGTGGCTTTGGGGAGCCCAAGGGCTGCCACCCCCCACCCGCTGCCATCACCTGCACCCTGCGGGGAGGTTTTGGTGCCCCGTCCCCGTCCTTTTGTGGGCTCTGCCCATCCCGGGGGCTTTCTCCTCCCCTGTCAGCAGGGATTTGGGGCTGGGGGGGGCGCGCTGGGTGCCCCCCACCCTCCTCTGCTGGGTGGGCGCAGAGCCCCTGTGCCCGTTCTCCAGGGGGGGGCTGCGATGCACCACCTGGTTTTCTCCTCTACCACAACTGTGAAGCATTGGGGATTGGTAGGGAACAAAAAAAGGGCTTTTTATTCATCATTTTGGGGGGTTTGGAGGGTCTGCGGCCACATCCTGCCCCCCTTCCCCGGGCTCTGAGAGCCCCCCCAGGGCAGCGGGGCTTGGAAATGCCTCAAAACTCCCCCAGCCTGGGACCACAGCTCCTTGGGTGCCTGGGGTCGGTGCGGGCAGCACCGTGGAGCCGTGTCCCCGTGTCCCCATGTCCCTCACTGGGCGGGTGCTGGTCACCGCCCGGCCCTGGGGGGGGCTCCTGGGGCCATCCTGCAGCCCCCTTTTGGGACCAACGCTGCCCCGTGTCGGCGTCCCTCAGGAGCCGCCGGCCCCTGTGGGTTATCCTCGTCCGCGTCTCAGCCAGTGGCCTGGTGTGTTTGTTTTTAATGTTCTCCCTTTCCAATTTCTAATAAAACCACCCGTTTTTGTAAGCTGTGGGCTGCGTGCATGGGGTCCCCATCCCCTGCCCGTTGGGGACACCACGGGGTGGCAGCGGGTGGCCCTGTGCCGGCGGGGACCGAGGGTGCATCCAGGTCTCCCCCCAGCCTTGCGTTTGGCCACGAGGGCGCACCCCAAACTCCCCGGGATGGATCCAGCCCAATTCTGCTCCCGGCCACTGGGGTCCCAGCAGTGCCAGCACCACCGCAGCACCGTCAGCCCTGGCACAGCACCAGAGCCAGGATCCCTGGGGGATCTCAGAGCCTGCTGCTGGCACGGGGACACCGCTGGCACGGGGACACCGCTGGCATCGCCTCCGGTCTGGGCCGAGCGCTCTGCATCGTGCAACGCCGGCGGCGCGTTGCGTCCAGCCTTCTGGCCCCGGGCAGCCCCAGCCCAGCCCCAAAGCCACGTCCCGGGGCTCTCCCGCTGCCACCACCAGGGTTGAACCCCATTGTTGGTGGCTCCCCCGTCCCCGCGAGCCCCCCGTGCGCTGGCACTGAAGGGCGCTGCGTCCCCCCTGCCGTGCGCCTCCCCCAGCTCCCGCAATCTTTGTCCTGCTCACTCCGGGCTATATTTAGCCCTCCCCCGTGCTATTTCGCCTCCCTGGCAGGAGTTTATAACTGGCCGGGACAGCCACACCTCCTTTCTGCTTTCCTCCCTTGCTTTCCTTCCTTCTCTTTTCCCCTTTTTTTCCCTCCCTGCTCCGCTCCGACCCGGCCGCCACTCCCTGCCCTTGCCCCTGCCCCATGCCCAAAGCACCGGGGGCTGCCCAAGCCCAGGACCCCTCCAAGAACCAGCATGGGGCCCGCTGAGGAGCTGGTCCGGATCGCCAAGAAATTGGATAAGATGGTGGCCAGGAAGAGCACGGTAAGGCGGGCTGGGGCGCGTGTGCAATATTTGCACACTCGTGCCAGATTTGCACACTCGTGCCAGATTTGCGCACGTGAGCAATATTTGCATGCGTGCAATATTTGCCTACGTGTGCCACATTCGCACTATTTGGGTGTGCTTGCATTTTTGGGCAGCTCGGGGCAGGGCGAGGGAGGAAAGCCACGAAGCTCCCCGACGTGGCAAGGAGAAAAAGGGGGCTCGGAAATGTCCCCCCCAGGAGGGGCTGAGTGGGTGCTGAGCTCCCACGGGGCACCCCCGGGTGCTGCCTCTCCACCCTTGGGGAGTTGGAGCTGGTGCCCATGGGGGTTTTATTTTGGATTTGGGGCTGTCCCTTGCCCCCCCCCTGCTCAAGGCCATGGGGACGTGGTGGTCTGGGGAGCTTGGGGGGGGGGGGACCTGTCCCAGGCTGTGGCGGTGTGGGACAGAGGACAAATGCGGTGACAGGTGCTTGGCCCCCAGCCTGGCCACAGGCACCCAAACCAGCCCCATGCAAAGGAAAAAAAAAAATCCCTTGGGGGGGGGTGGGAAAAGCCCCCCCCAAGCCCAGACACAGCCCTGCCTTTTGCACAAGTGTGTGCAAATGTGCACAGGGAGGGAGGGGGCAGACCCATGGCACTCGCAGGGGTTGGGGAGGGGGCTTCGGTGCTCTGGGGGGGGGGGGGGGGGCGCAGGATCTGTCCCTGCCTCCCTTTGTGCCAGCTGAGCACCCGTCCTGGCCCACTGGTTGCACGGGGGCGAGCCCAGCCCCTAAAGTTAATATTTGACCGTTTCTGGCGGACTTTGCCCCGGGGAGGTGTGGGCTTCCCAGGTGCTGCCGTCCCCCCCCCCCCATCTGGTGGCTTTTTGGGACCCTGGATCACAACCGCACAGCCCCGACTGAAGGGACTGATCCTGCCCAGCCTCAGGCTGTCGTTGGGGTTCCCAAACCCTCCTGATTTATGGCACTTTTGGGAAGGGGAACAGCACGGGGGGGGTGTCCCCTGCGCCCAACGGGCTGGGAGCTCCGGCCACCACGAGTGGCACGACCCCGCCGTGGGTCCCCGCACCCTTGTCCCTGTTCCTGCACCTCTAAAAATACCGGGGAGGAAAACGACCCCACATGGAGCCGTGCCGGGGATATATTTAGCCCTACAAGCACCGAGCACCCAAGGGCCGGGCTGCAAATCCGGAGACGTGTGGCCCCCGGTGCCTCGGGGACGCTCAGGTGTCCCCAGCCCTCCCCGTTGGAGCAGGATGTTTTTTAGGGGAGCATCACTGAGGGTGGCCACGTGGCCCCTAAGCGCCTGCCCCATCCCCTCTGGGGACCCCATGGGGTGGTCCCGGGGGGGGCGCAGCTCCTCCAGGGCTCCCGTGGCCTCTCCCCGCTGTAGGAAGGGGCGCTGGATCTGCTCAAGTCGCTCACCGGTTACACCATGACCATCCAGCTGCTGCAGGTGAGGAGGGGATGTGCTGTGGGGTTTGGGGGGTCCCGGGGGGGGTCCCGGTGACGGCCCCGCTAACGCCTGTCCCCAGACCACGCGCATCGGGGTGGCGGTCAACTCGGTGCGCAAGCACTGCTCGGACGAAGAGGTGGTGGCCTCGGCCAAGATCCTCATCAAGAACTGGAAGCGGCTGCTGGGTGAGAGGGGCAAAATCCTCCCCAAAACCTCCCCAAACCCCGCACCGGGCTGTCCCGGTGTCCCCGGGCTGTGCCGTGACCCGGCCCCTTCCCGCAGAGACCCCCGCTGCCCCGAGGAGGGAGAAGGACAGCGACTGGGGAGAGAAGAAGGAGAAGGAGAAGAGGCTGGATTTCCCCAGCTGTCCCAACGAAGGGGCGAACCCCCCCCCTGCCAAACACCCCAAAACCCCAGGACAAGCACAAGGAGAAGCACAAGGAGCGGTACGGGGCCAGCGGGGGGGCACCAATGGGGCCAGGACCAGCTCCGACCCCCCCAGCTCCATCCCTAAGGGATTGGTTTATCCAGGATGGAGCCCCCCTGCCCGGCTTTTTCCCCTTCCCCACGTGCTTTTTACCCAAACGAGGGCTGTCCCGAGGGTAAAACCGACCCCAAACCGCCCCCGTCTCTCTTTCTGCAGGAAGCCCAGCACCCCCGGCACCCACCCAGCCCCCCCCAAGGGCCACCCCCCCGACTCCAACCCGCAGAGGTACCCGCGGTCCTGCCCTCGCTGCTCGGGGCTCTGCGGGGCTCCACGAGGCTTTGTGGGGCTGGGGGGGTCTTTGGTGGGAAGGGGGGGTCAGGATGTGGCTCCCCGGGCTGCACGGGGGGTGCTGGGTGCTGAGCGCGTCCCCCCCCTTCCCCTGTGTCCTGCCCTGCAGGGAGCCCAGCAGCGGCCGCAGCCCCTCTGCATCCTCGAAGAAATCATCCCTGGATAGGCAAGAAAGAGAGGTGGGGGTCTTGGGATGGGGGCACGGGGGGGGGGAGAGGACCCCAGCCCCTCTTGGGGCTGCGGATGGGGCTCAGGACCTGGTCCCCAAATTCCTGAGCCGTGGCTGCTCCTGCAGGAGGGACTCTGCTGACTCCAGGTCCTCGGCCGCCTCCTCCTCTTCCTCCCCGCAGAAGAGACCCTCGGGGGAGAGGTAAGGAAGAAGCCCCCCCCCCGGGGGGACCTTGCCATAGGGGGATACCTGGCCCTGGGGGGGCGCACAGCCCCAATTTGGGGATGCTCCAACCGTGGGACACGCAGCCGGGGTGGGAAGAGGGGGCTGCGAGCCTGATCCTGCCCCATCCTTGGTGTCCCCCCCACCCCGTGCCCCCCCCAGGAGAGCCTCCGTGGGTGCCAGCCCCTCGCCCGCCCCCGCCACCCCCCGGAGGAGCTCCAGTGACAGCAAGGAGGACAGGTAGGGACCCCCCCCCCAAGCCCTCCCCAGCGCTGCCACGTCCCCACGGGACCCCAACACCTACCTGTGTGCCCCCCCCCAGGGCCAACAGCAGCAAGGCCAAGGCGGAGACGCCGCGGACCCCCAGCAGCCCCCCCTTCTCGCCCAGCGTCTGCCTCCTGCCCCCCTGCTACCTGACGGGGGACTCGGTCCGGGACAAGTGCATCGAGATGCTGACGGCCGCGCTCCGCATGGATGGTGAGCAACTGGGGGGGGACACAAAATTAGGGGGGGCTGGGGAAGGGTCGTAGCCTGCTCCTCTGGGGCGAAATGGGGAGGGGAACCCTCCAAAATCGGCGCTGAGCCCCAGCCAAATTAACCCACAAAGTTATTTGGAGGGGCAGCAGGGCCCCCCCCCCCGTCTCCATCCCGAAGGTCCTTGGCCAAGCTGGGCTGGGTGTCCCATGGGGGCAGCCCCAGCGGGGGTAACCCTACAAAAATAAACGGGGCTCCAAGGCCTGGGGGCACCCGGGCAGCAAATTCCCCCCCTGCCTGGCAGAAAAGTCCCGGCTGTGGCTCAAAAACCCAGGGTTTGGCCCCAAAAGGGGGTCGGTGGGGTCTCTGGTGGGGGATTTGGGTGTGGGTGTTGCAAAGGGATTCATTGTGGGTTTCAGGTGGGGGGAAAATGATTGTTTTTGGAGAGGGGGTGGACTTGGGCGAGCAGGATGAGGTTTTGGCCACTTTTTGGGGAGCTCCCTGGGGCACAGAGCCACCCCCACACCACCCCCCCCTCCGCCTCGCCTTGCCCCCCAGATGACTACAAGGAGTTCGGCGTCAACTGCGAGAGGATGGCATCCGAGATCGAAGAGCGTATCCTTTGGGGGCTGGGGGGTCCTGGGGGGGGGCAGGGGCAGGGACAGAGGGTGGTGGGGCCAGGGCCATGGGGTGTCCCTGCGCGCAGCCTGCAGAGGGAGCCCGGAGCCCACTAAAAGCTGGAGCTGAGCAGCCCCAACCCGGAGCACCCCAGGGGCAGGAGCTTTGGCACTGGGGTGCTGTGCGCCCCCCCCCCCCGAAAAAAAAAAACCCTGCTTGGGGACCTGCCTCCCTCCAGGGTGGGGGGCAATGGAGCCACGCTGGGCCAGCTCCAAGTCACCCCCAGCCCCAAGCTTTGGGGTCCCCCCCTGCTGCCAGGACCATCCCTGGAGATGATTCCCCCTGGTGGGGGGGGGACACGCGGGCGATGCTGAGGTTTCCTTGACGGGCCCCCAGATATCTTCCAGGAGCTGAAGAGCACGGACATGAAGTACCGCAACCGGGTGCGGAGCAGGATCAGCAACCTGAAGGACCCCAAAAACCCCAACCTGCGGAGGAACGTGCTGTGCGGGGCCATCCTGCCCGGCCTCATCGCTCGCATGACCGCCGAGGTGCGCAGGGGGGCGAGGGGGCCGCGGCCCCCTTGGTGCCTGAGAGCCAGCAGGGTCCTGGTTTGGTGGTGCAGGTCCTGTTATATGGCACAAATCCCCTCCCCGTCCTGCTCCTTGGTCCCTGCTCCTCCTGCCCCATGGGGTCCCCAAATGAGGTCCTCGGAGCCCCCCATGGGGCTGCAGCTCCTTGGGGACGGGTCTGAGGATGGGTTGGAGCCCAGCGAGCAGGATCAGCGCCCTGCAGGGATGGGGCGGGTGATGGACCACGGTGCTCTGCACCCGGGGCTGTGCCAGCTCGGCTGGCAGCCCCCCAGGAGGCCCTGACGTGCCCCCCCCCCCCGTGGCAGGAGATGGCCAGCGACGAGCTGAAGGAGCTGCGCAACGCCATGACCCAGGAGGCCATCCGCGAGCACCAGATGGCCAAGACGGGCGGCACCGTCACCGACCTCTTCCAGTGCGGCAAGTGCAAGAAGAAGAACTGCACCTACAACCAGGTGAGCCCCCCCGAGCACCCAGGGGACCCCCAGCTCGTAGTTTGTTTTTTTTTTTTTGGGGGGGGGACACCATCAGCATCCTCTGACCCGGCCGCCCGCTCCCTCCCCAGGTGCAGACGCGCAGCGCCGACGAGCCCATGACGACATTCGTGCTGTGCAACGAGTGTGGGAACCGCTGGAAGGTCTGTACGAGGCGGGGAGGGGGGGCTCTGGGTCCCCCCAGCCCTCCCCTGTCCCACCCCTGGGACCCGTGTCCCCTGCAGCATCCCTGCCCGTGCCCCCCGCCACCCCCGAGCCCCCCGTGGTGGTGCTGGTGTGGTGCCACCGCCCGGTGCTCCAGGACCCATCCAGCACCCACACCCCATGGGGAGCAGGCTGGTCCCAACCCAGGGGGTTCCCAGAGCCCCCCAAAACTGCCCGAGGTGGGGGCTGCCTTTGGGGTGCCCCCACCCCACGCTCGGTTTCTCTTTTGCAGTTCTGCTGACGGCGCCCGGCGGGGCTGGAGGGGACACGGTGCGGAGGGGACACGGCGATGGCACATGGGAGGTGGCAGCAGCCCCCCCGCTCCCTGTTCCACTGGCACTGGGATCCCACAAGTGACCCAGTACTGGGTGGGTTTGCTGTGGAAGACCCCAGTGAATTCCAGCCCTTGGTACTGGGAGCCCACTGGGAGCACAGAAACATCCAGCAAGAAGACTGGTCCGAACTGGGCTGCAGAAGGGCTGGGGGGAGCCTGGGCTCACGTGGCTGGGGGGCAGGAGGGACACTGCCCCATGGCTGTGGGGTTGGGAAAGGGCCAGGCTTCACCCCCAAATCCCCCCATTTCCCTCCCCTGACTGCAGGTGGCAGGGGGTGGGGGGAGATGGGGTGGGTGGCGGCAGTGCCCGGGTGCCGGTGGGATGTCACCGTGTCCCCCGCTCCGTGCCGCATGGGGTGCCCGGCCGGTGTCCCCTGGGGAAAAGGAAGGGACGGGGGGAGAGGAGTGGGGAGAAACCCTCCAGCTACAGCAATAAAGGCCTGAACTGTCTCTGCAGCAAGGGCTGCTTTCTGGAGAGGGCTCGGTGCCTCAGTTTCCCCTAAAAGAATTTGTGAGTTTGCCCCCAGGCAGAGCTCAAGGCAGCTCGCACCCAGATTTGGGTGCCCACAGCGCCGTTCCATCCTGCTAGCCCCAGAAGGGTCAGCCAGCTCCAGCCCCTGGGAAAACACCTCGGGCTTTGGCACTCATTAGCATGCAGAAATCATTAATAAGCCTCCGAGGCAATTAGTTACACTTGCAAAGCGTGGCTGCAATTAAGGCACTCGGAGGATTGAGGTGGGCGAATAAAACAGCGGGACGGTGCGGTGACCGGCACTGGGAGCACCGGGGCCACTGCGGGTGGAAACAGAGTTGGATTTGGGGGAAACGGATTTGGATTTGGGGAAATGGATTTGGATTTAGGGAAAATGGGGGATTTGCCCCCATTTTTTTGCAGTCCAGGATTTGCGCTCCCCTAAGATGGCCACAATGACAGGGCTGGTGCTGAGCTGGGGGTGTCGTGGTGCCGTTCGCTCCTGGCTGGATCCTTCGTGCCGGATCCGTCCCCGTGCCCCCTGGTGCTTTACCTCTGGGCATTGCCTCGGCCCCAAAGCTGGCATGAGCAATACCAGAGGAAGCCTGGCCCCAAATTAATTCCAAGAGGCTGACGGAGCCCTGGCACCCACCTGCGTCCGTCTGTCCTGCAGGGACGTGACCGAGCGTCCCAGGCAGCGCCTTGGATGGAGGGGGGGGGGGGGGACACAGGCAAAGGATTTATTGCGAGGGCTCTGCTCGAAATTCCCGTTTGGAGGCACGAAGTGGGCTGTAAATAACCCCCGGGCAGCTGCTCGTTCCCCGGGGAGCCGGGTGCTTTGTGAAGTGGAGCAGGGCCAGCTGAGAGCACGGGGACCCTGCGGCGCGCAGGGGGGAGATGGGGACAGGGCTGGGGGTCACTGGGGCTCTGGGGGGTGTTGGGGGGGCGGTCACCTGGGGCAAGGGGCAGTGGGGGTCCCTCTGGCCTGAGGGTTGCAATGGGCTCTGGGTGGCTCCTGGGGACAGTCCCCAGAGGCCAAGCCTCCTGACCTGAGCCGGGGGATGCTGTAAGCACCTGGGTGTGCTGGAAAAAACCTGGTGCCCAAAGTGCTGCTCCCCACACCCATGGCATTTGGCATCTTGGTGAGCCCAGGCAGGGTCCGTGTCACCCACTGAGCCCCCTTAGGGCCATGAGGTGACATCCCTGAGGCTTCCCCCTCTGCTCCCCACATCCCCCAGCCTGCTTAGAAGGGGAGAGAAACCCCCACAGCTCTGGGGGGGACGGGCGCTTCTCTTGCCTTTTTATTAGGGCTTGAGGGCTGCAGCCACAGCTTCAGGCACCAACTGCTTGTGTTTGCCCTGCCCTGCCCAGCTCACATTTTGGGGCACATCCGGGGGGAGCCAAAAACGCATCACATCCCCCCCAGGGCTGTACCACCACGATGGGCACTGAGATCCCTGGAGACCAGCACGGCTCCGGAGATGCACCGCTGCAGCACATCCCGGCGGCGATGCTGCCCTTCTCCCCCGCATTTTTTCCAGCCTTGACAAAAAGAAAAAAGGGAAAGGAAAAAAAAAAAAAAATCAGTGCTGGCGGTTTCCATGACAACCCCATCCCCGGTCCTCGCGCCCGGTGGGTGCCCAGCCGCAGGGCTGGAGCAGAGAGGTGGGGAAATCTCGCAACAGGGCTTGCAGCGCACCCGGGTTTCTTGGAAACGGGTCGGAGGGGCTGGGGATGAGTCGTGTCTGGGTGCCCCTGCTCCTCTGGGAACGTCCCCGCCACCCCCTTGTCCCCATTTTGGCTTTTTGTCCCCTCCCCAGATGTGTTTCTGGAGAGGTTGTGCTGCGATTTGCAGCTTTGGGGCTCGGGGTGGCCATCAGAGCACTGGGGTGAGTTTAGGCACCGCTGGGGTTTCGGTGCGGGGTGAGGACCTGGGGGCCTGGCACCCAGTGAGGGGGGACAGCTCAGGAGCCTTGGCATGGCTGGAAACCCCCTGAGGTTCACCCACAGCTCCATCAGCATTTCCTCTCTCCTTTAAGGTCCAGAGGCTTTTCCCCACGGGTACCCACAGACGTGCCCCATCCCTGTGCCGAGCAGGGATCGATCTGTAATTACGCACCCAGCACAGGTGCTGGCTGCCTCGCCAGCTCTCCGAAGCCACATGCAATATTTATCTGCACGGCCTCGCTGCTTGGCTGCTGTCAGGAGAAGGGATTTGTCTCCCTGGGGAGAAGCGCGCCGCTCCTGCCTTGGCGTCCCCAGGGGGATGCTCGGCGGTGCGGGGACCGCGTGTGCAGGGTGGGGACAGCCCAGCTTGCAGCTGCTCGGGTGAGGAGAGGTTTATTTTTGCTTTAATTGCACCCAAAGCTGTGTTTTCTCCAGCACAAGGTGCCTGCTGCCTGCGCTCTGGGTTTGGGGAGCGGGGATTTGGCCTCAGTGGGGCCGGACCCATGGGTCCAGGGTGTTGGAGGTGCAGCAGGTCCCTAAATACCTGCCAGAGGGACACGGTGCAATCACACAGGACTTCCCAGGCACTGAAAAAATGCACAAATATGCATAAAGCAGGAAAAAAAAATAAATCACTGAGCCTCTCAGTGCCTGCTCCAGCGCTGGGCTGTGATGCAAGATGAGCAATTTCCCTTCTCTTTCATTGTTCTGCGCTGATTTTAGTGAATCAGCTCCAAGAACAACACCGTGATCACCCAAAGCAGCCCTGCTGGAGAGGCTCCACACCCCCGACCCCATTTTCTCCCCATTGCACGGCCCCCACCGCCCCAGCCAGGCGAGGGCAAAAGCAAAGCTCAGCCCCAAAAACCCCAAAGGTCTCCGCTTCCACCACCCAACCTCTGTGCTCAGCCTGGGGCTGGGTGCCCCAGCCCAAACCCACGGAGCAAAGCCACTGACAGGGGCTGGAGGGCGTTTCTTCTTCTTCTTTTTTTATTTTTATTGAAAAATGTAGGAAAAAACACTCACTCTGTCACCTGCAACCTTTAGAATCCAGCAGAGGGAAATGGTTCGTTGAGCTGCGGGGATGCAGTGCCCTAAAATCACCCCCTGCCTCTCCCCAGGCCTTTTGGTGATTAAATGCATCAGCGGAGACTGAACTGGACCCAAACCTTTGCTTCTAGGATGAAACAAGCTGCATGGAAAATTACAGGATGCGACTTTTCCCGAAGACAACTCGGTGCCCTGTTATTTCCTAGCCAAGGTTTGCTGAGTCTGCAGAGCGCTTTGATCTCAGCCTTCCTAAAATCACAGCTCTCGGCAGGGATATTTTTTCCCCTCCTTCAGCTGAAGAGGCAGAGGAGGAGGAACCGAGCAGCGAGCCCCAGGAACAACCCCAAAAAAAAAAACGCCCTGGAAATGAGCTGCTCCGTGTTCCCTCCGCAGCCACGCGCTCTTCCCTCCTGGGACCATGGAGACGGAGGCGGTGGTGATGGAAACCGCTCTTGCTTTGGGTCCGTGGTGGTGCATGGGGGCTGTTTGTCCTGCAGGACCAGGACCAGCTTGTGCCCCTCTCCACATCCCAGCAGCAACGAGAGAGACACTCCAAGAAATTAAGCAGATGCCCCTCGCTCTCCCCAGACAGCTCAGTCCCCATCCCTGCACTCCCCGCACCAGTGAAACGACCTAAATAACAAAGGCAAAAACAAGCCCGTGGTGGCTTCTTCGCCTGACACTTGTTTTCCTCCCTGCCAGGAGCTCTCAGGCACTTGGCAATTACGAGCGGCAGATTAATCTTTAGTGATCTAATGAAGTGCCACGCGGCTCCCAGGAAGAGCAGGGGCTGGATGTGCTCTGAATTAGTGCCGTTTGCCCGGGGCCAGGCGCCGACTCCTGGGGCAGGAGCGGGGCAGAGGGGATGGAGCAGGGGCTGGGAGCACGCCCCGAGGTTCCCATGCCCTGGTGCGCTGCGTCCCACCTGTCTGATAGCTCAGGGTTTGTGCTGCAGAAGGAAAATTATATTTGCACGTTTTCCAGCCTGGTTTGCCCATCTCCAACATCCCCAAAGCAACCTTGCACCATCCCAGCACCTCCTGGCCATGCACAGCACCAGGCTGACCCTCTCCTTTGGCACAAAGCGCCCCAGGGGGTCCCCACAACTCTGTGCCCCTTTCCTCCAAGGTCCGAACGAGCTCAAAAGCCACGAGCAGCTGGCACACGAGGCCGCATTCTTCCAGCAAGCTGCCTTGACTCGAGAAGTGGAAATATAAATAGCTCGTCCTGCAAGGCAGTGATTGCCCAGGAGCTGCGCCACCGCCGCCAGCCGCGCGCAGCAAAGCCATTACCCACAGCAGCCAATTTACTCCCGACTCTGGCAGGGTCAGCGACCATCAGGGAAGCAAATGCTAATTAATTGCACTCTGCAAAGCAGCCTGGCCGTGCAGGGCATGTAATTAGCGAGTTAACTGCAGCCACTGCTGCTCAGGGATTGCGGCTGAAGGGGCGGCCGGGCTCCTGTTTGCTGCGGTGGGAGGGACGCGATCCTGCTCCGCTCGTGGCACTCGATGTGTCCATGAGCATCCCTCCGGTCCCCGCTTCACCAGCAGCCAGCTCCACCAGGGGCCGTCCCCTGAGTCCTCTGCCCATCCGCTTGGCATTTCCTGGGGGCAGCAGAGCTGCCCTTAGCATAAAAAATCCCAGTGAAGGGAGCTGCTGAGCCCCAAGGTCCCTGGAGGAATCGCGTGCTGATGCCCTCACATCGCTGCCGCTGCAGTGACTCATCCCGGCCCTCCGAGGATGCGCTTGGATACAGAGGGAAGGAGGGGAACGAGGCGAGAGAAAAATTGCTCTGCTCATAAGGTATCTTGGCTACGGCAAGGGGAAAATGTCCCTTTGCCACCCGCCCACAGCTCCAGCCTCAAGGCCACAGCGCTGCCGTGCCACGAATTCGGGGGGGCTGCGCTTGCTGCTTGGCGAGCAGCGAGGGAATCGCTTAGCGGAGCCCTGGGAGCGGGGGAATATTTCGAGCCGTTAATGGAGC